CATTCCCAGTCCACAGAGCTTATTGGAAGAAGTAACAACTTGAAGAAAGCACAAAAACCCCACTAGAGCATTTCTACCTCATGACTCACAGTTATCCTCTTTGACCTCATGTCACTGTGTTACAAGGTCACAATTTGACAAGGTTCTGGAAGACTCATCCACACAGCTATTACCTGACTCCATATGGGTGAGAACACAAGCCTGGTGGCTCCCACACTGGCATTCTCAGGGGATGGCTCTTCAGGCCAGGGTTTGTGGCAAATGGGGCAATGCAGGTCTGCAAGGCACAGGCGCCTCTCTGTGCCAGCACTCACTCCACCTTGTGCTGGTGTTGCCTCTGTGGGGGCCTCTGCAGTGTCCTCCCTCCTGCAGTGTTTCCTGCCTGTGCCTGCAATGCCACAGCTTGGTTTCAAGGCCGGATGGAAGCATCCATGCACCAAACATCTTAAGATCTGTGCCCTGTACAAGGAGTGTGCAATGGAGTCCATGGACAGGCATGGTCTGTGAACACTGCCATACAAGTTACTGAGGCCCACATTTCTCTTGGAAACACAGGTGCCATACATGCAGTTAGTGAATAAAATCCCCCCCAAATATTTCTGGCTAATCCTTGAGAAAACCCTGACAAATGAGAATGGAGATCACAGATTGACCATCAATGACCCTGTTAGTCTCTCAAGTCCCTGCACTCTGGCTTTGTGGTGAGAGTGACAGGCTCTAAATGCCATTTGGGTCAGTTTCATATTTTCCTGTGAATTAGAATCTCGCTTCTCTCAGCCTGTGCTGCTCTCCCTATCACGTGATCTCTTCACAGGACTTGAGTGTTCACTTTAGTAAATCTTGTGTCATTTATAACTTGGCAGGTCTGGGAAATTTCCTACTTGCTAAGTTTTCCTTCCTTTGAGTTCTTATTTGACTCTGTCCTGTTGCTCCTTTCAATCACTGTATCATTATAAATGAACTGTATTGTGCTGTTTCTCCACACCAGTTCTTGTCTTCTGTATTATGCTTATATATCTATACATGGTGTCAGCATCACTGAGTCACTGAGATTTTCCAGTAAGTTTAGAAGTCTAAATTAGGTTTTTGCACTGTTTGTTTTTTTTCCAGAAATGCATTAGGTGTTATAGATTTAATTAGTCTTTTTTAATGGCACTCTGCTTGAATTATACCCACAATCAGTAAGATCAGAGTTTACAAGCACAAATCAGGGAAAGTGTACATATTAAACTATTTATGATTCTACTATAACAGTACTTAATCTGTGTGTTCATCATAATAAAAGGAAATTCATGACTATTTCTAATTATTCATCATATATTTCATGACCCCATAGTCTCTGGAAGCGGTAGGTATACATTCAGAGTGCAATTACTGTGAAAAGTTTGGATGTTATATGTCACCATAGTCACAGAGCAGGGGAAGTTTGTATTCATTAGGCTTTTTCAAAGCATTCTCATGCAGCAACAAGAACATTAAACTCATTTCTCTCAGGGCAAAGAATATACATGTTTATGTAAAATTTCTTTGATTATCCTTTTTAATTAGTAAACTTTTAGGAAGTTAGTTACCATGAGGAATTTTGTAGGCACATCAGCTTCTATGATTTTATGCAAATGTGAACTTTCAATACTCGTAATTAATTATCTAAAGATATAAATCCGATGAAGAATTCATTTTGTAAATTTTAAAAGATACTAAACTACTTAGAGCAGCTGTGAAATCGCACAATCTCATCCTCTTGCTGAGGGCGCTAATGTCAGTGCATCATCATCATTCTGTGTTCTGCCTGCCATTTTTACCCTAATCTTACAGTGCAGCATAAAGCAACAAAAACCTGATATTATTTAACCAAACTTTGAATGTAGATATAAACACTGTGATTTATTTGAAGCTTAAGAGGATTTTCTAATGAAAGGAAATCCACAAACAGAATAGGGAAATCTCTAGTCTCTTTGACCAAGTCAGGGTGTGGGGAATGCAAGAATGAAAAGGGATGGCAAAATATGAGATTTAGGGAAAAATTTGCCACTAACAATGTACTGTTGGTTGCAGGCTTAACGGCATGTACTCACCAATAATGAAGTTTTAAAATTTGAATTGGAGACATTGTTGATATCTAACAGATTTCAGTAAGATTGTCAATGATTCGGGTTGATAGATATAAAATGTTACATAGTATAACTTGCATAAAGAAGATGTAATGAAAGGCACACAGGGCCATCATTACTACATTTCCATAGGGGGAAGTGGGTCACAGGAGGATGAGGAGTGAGGAGGACCAGGGTCTCAGCAGCAATGGTCTCCATGAAGCTGCTCCTATGCTGGGGCCTGGAAGGGCTGGCTCCAGGGAACCCTGAGCCCCCTGAGGGATGCTCAGGTCCCTCAGAAAGAACTGCACAACCCTATGCTATCAGAAGCAGGATCTTCGGGTCCTGATCGCTGAAGAGGTGAGGATTGTGACTGGGCTCACACTGAGCACCACTCACTGTGGCTCCGACTTCCATCCAGACTGTTACCAGATTCCCTGAGCTTCACTGCAACATGGGCCAGATGACCACAGCAGAATTTTATTTGACTCAAGTGATGATTGGGATCCTGCAGACTGGAGAATGTTTTGTCCTTTAAAAATAAACTGAGACTTCAGAGGTAAGACAAAGATATAAAAGCACAGTGTCGGGGATAAGAAATATGCAGAAATTTCTAAACCTGACAGTAAACAACACCCACCTTCCTTTAAATGTGCTCTTTGTCTGTATACATGAAACAAATTTGCAGATAGAATATACTGAGTTGAAAAAAATAGATGAAGGTAGTTTATTATATATCTGTACTGGTACAGAAAAAATTGATAGATATTTGGAGATGAAGAATTTTATACTTTCAACTGCTTTTAAAGAAAAATAAGAAACACTTTTTTCATGAAACAACCTTTTGAGGTGAGTGTCAAGAAAGAAAAGACCAAAGGAGCTTTTTTGTCTTGCTTTTCTATTTTTTCTTCCTTCTTTTTTAAATACTGAAATGAGTCTAAAGATCAGAAAGATCCTTATTTTCCTTAATGGGCACTTACTCCTATAATATCAGTGCACCCTCTAAATAAAAGTCCATGCATGTCACTCAGTCACACAGTAGTTTGAGAACAAGGACAGAAGGACAGAATAATGAATCAGTGGTTTAAATTTTATGATCTGTGCCACATAACCTTGATAGAAATTTGTAAAATTACATGCTGTAATGAATTTGACAATTTTTCTAATGTCTGAGTAGTTTTGAAATGTCATACATTTCAATATTATAATTGAGTGCTTTAGTTTTTTACAATCATTATGATAATCCAAATAACTGCAAAATTAAACCTATGTAAGGCCTCAATGTTACAACAAATATTACAAACAAAATTAGAGATTTATTCTACTTGGAGAAGACTGTGCAATGGGCATTTTCTGCAATGGGCAGATAAGAGTATATGTGGAAAAATTATTGCATGGTAAATCATTGTGAATTTCATGATGGAAATCATTATTTTTAATGCACCACATTTAATGAGACCTCTTGATATCATACTAGATATCTGTATAGTCCATATCTCTACAGATTTTAGTAATTGTCTCTATAAACAATTGTCTCCATAAACAAATTTTGTTGTCTATTTTAAATTCAAGTGAGTATAATAAATGAGCAGCATTGAATACGTAAGCACTCAAACTTATTTCAGTTGAAGCTTCCAATTTCTCATGCAGTTCAATCAGTTTTGCACTTCAAAAAATGTGTGTGTAAAGCCTCCATCCAACACTTGAGGAAATGAGATTACCCTTCAGTGCCAGATGTGGCAAATCTCAGGGGGCAGTGGACTTACCACTTGTCAACTTGCTCCCTCTCCCACAGCTTCACAGCCCCACAGTCAAGGTCAGTGAAGGTCATCACGAAGCTCAGGGGACTCACAGCAACGTTTCCATTGTCTCTTCTCACCTGGAATTGTTGTCAGATGATTTGACGTGCAGGTGACAGTCATTGCTGTGTACTCAGCCAGCCTTGGTTTAAGGGGCCACTGCTTTCTCTTTCTCACATATGTACACTTGTTTTCAATTTATTTACAATATGTGCTGTGCCATTTAGATTTTCATTTTATTTGTTTCTTTGAATAAATTTACTACACTGAAACACTTGAAGTGATAGTTAAAAAATACATGAAGATTTGATCCAGTGTCATCAGAACTTTAATATAACTGCATATTTCAGGCATTTATTAATGATCTTTAATGGAAAAAGAAAATATATGAAATAATCAGTATGTGAACTTTATCAGTGATCTTGCCCCAAAACAAACTTTGAAAGTTAAAAATTATGAAATGAAACTAAAAATTCACGACTATTTAAATCTTTAAAGGCCTTGATTCTCGGTATCATCAATTTTATTGAATTAATTTCTCACTCAAGTGTGTAGATTTAATTTTTTTTCATATAACATGATGTGATTTTTCACTGTGGGTTAAAGGGAATGTCACTTTTAGTTTTCATACAGCTGACAGATAGTTCTTGTTTTTATCTTATTACCTTAGTAGATTCTGGCTATGTGTATACCATACCCAACCTATGGCCTATGACATATACATATACATATATACATATATATACATACATATATACATAAATACATATAAATACAGTCATGTATTATAACCACTCTTACAAGTTTACAATGTATTTTTCTAAATTGTTCATGTATGATATGAAACACTTAATTTTTTTTTCTTTACTATGCAAAGGATAGGAAATGCAAAATTCACACTCTGAATAACGGATTTCCTAATTGTATTACAGTATTTTATTATGTTAATTGCTTTTGGGGTATTTTTAAGTGGACAATGAATTATTAGGGTTTTTATGTGGCATTTTACATTGTTTAGATTTTAATTATTTGTCTCTCTTCTCTTTCTTCTACTTGTATACTTACTTTTTTAAATGTCATGAAGCCTGCCTGAAACAAAATGCTTCAATACTTGTACCCTTGGGACACACTCTGAGTTCCACGTGTCCCGCGCGCCCCCTGCTGGTTCTAAGAACCCCTGCACGGAGGTTTTTGTGCTCACACTGATGTTCCCTCACTGTGTATCTCACACAGTAATACATGGCCGTGTCTTCTGCTCTCAGGCTGTTCATCTTCGGATACAGCGTGTTCTTGCCGTTGTCCCTGGAGATGGTGAATCGGCCCTTCACGGAGTCTGCGTAGCCTGTGCTACCACCAGTATTGCAAACCCATGTGACCCACTCCAGCCCCTTCCCTGGAGCCTGGCGGATCCAGGCCATGTAATAGCTACTGAAGGTGAATCCTGAGGCCACGCAGGAGAGTCTCAGGGACCCTCCAGGCTGCACCAAGCCTCCCCCAGACTCTACCAGTTGCTCCTCACACAGGACACCTGCAAACACAGAGACATTCTGCTCAAGAAGCTGTCACAAATGCCCATTGATTATCCCACTAATGCCACTCACTTACTCATTTGGTATTTATTATTTTTTCATGAATTACCTTTTAAAGTAGCAATAAGCAAAACCCAGCTCAGCGCCAGCTCCATGGTGAACCTTCTGTGCTCAATGCCAATCACCAATTGGGAAAAGCTGAGCATCCAGGGCTGGGCTCCTCCGCAGAGCTGTAAGACTGGTCTGCTTTTCTTCAGCACAGCGAGGCCCTATTTGCATGCCATCTTGTATAATACAGCCAGTTCTATTCTTGAAGTCTCAGAGAGGGAAGAGTTCAAAGCACATGAGAGTGTTTTGATATTTGTTTTGTAATATCCCTAGAATACAGAACACATGGTTCCTTCCTATGTGTAACATCATCTGCTTTTTTTATTCTTACCAATATGTTATTAATGGATCGGGAAACTTCGCAGGAGTGCAGATGTGTACACAGAATGAGAAGCATAATGTTCTGTGGTATGAGACATCATAGGCTATAAACTCATGCTCTCTGTGAGGTCCCACAGTCTTCTCACAGAACAAAATGGCTTGTTGAGTACTTCCAGCACAGACTGTTCAAGCTGTACAATGAATGTCACGTGTCTGCTTCTAATGAGGGATTATGACATTATTATTGTGTATTCTATTATATTCATAAATGGGTCGAAAACCAGCATCTTTTTCAAATATATGTTCAAGGATATGACAACTTTTCTTACCTCTGGAGAGGTAATATATCATTAAGAATACACTATATATATTATGCCAAAAATAAACATTCCATCTTTATTTCAATGATGAATAAGTGATACACTTTTAATAGAATTATACAAATAATTAACTATTCACAAAACCATGCCCATTCTGAAGATACCTAATGTATCTACTCATGAATTCTCCAGTCATTTTTCCGTAAAACTTCCTTCCTGTTTATTACTGTATGTGACAGTTCCCTCTCATAGTGACAAAAATAGCAGTCTACTTTTTCATGATAATCATGAGACCTGTGTATTCCCAAGCATCTATGTTCCTCAGATTCACTGTACTTTTTCTAGAATATGCAGGTTTTGGCAGCCCTCCCATAGGAGCTCACATAAAGGGTAAATATACACAGGGGTAAATATATTCTGTCAACACCAAAAATGCCTTTCATTCTCTGCACTCTGGAGACCTCACCAGTGAACTGTATGCTCTCTGCAGTGTGTGTGAGCCTAAGACATAGAGGGGAAACACTGACACTAAACGTTGTGAAGCCCTAAGTCTGGACTTTCCTTCTCTGCACCACCTATGGAGTCGCTCCTGATTCCCTGAAGATCCCGAGGACACTGTGCTGGTGCAGAGCTTTCACCACAGTTCCAGTGCACCAGATTCCTTTTCTTGGTCCTGTGCACCTGCTGCTGATCCTGAGCGCCCTCTGCTGGTCGGCACCTGCTTGTACATAGCTTTGTACCTGGGCTCACATTTAAATACCCTCAGAAAACGTATTGCACATTGCAATATGGTTGAATTTTCCACGGACATTGAGGACAGTTACTCAGAGAACTTTTTCTTGGTTTTAGAAATACTGACTTGTCAGAGATTATTGACCAATTGTACCTCCAGTGTTACCATCCTGCTACATCCACTCAGTTTCCTACCTGGCAGCTGAAGGATCCAGCTCTAGGAGCAATGTCCCAGAGCTGCGCCAAATACAGAATGTGAGGCTCAGAGACAGGGACTGAAAGGGAGCCATGGGCTCCGGTACGGTCTCTTGCAGCAGTAGCTGCAATGGAACAGTGAGAGAACAGGTCAAACCCTGAGACCAGAGGCAGAATCTTCACATTCTTCTGTCTGAATTTTCCTAGACTCACATATGGGAGAAATCACCAGAAAGAGGAGGAACCAGAATTATACTATGTTCTTCTAGACTAACTTTACAAATCTCTGATAACATCTTAAGTATTGAGAAATGAAACACTTCAAAGCAATGTGCAATATGAACTTATCTGGTAGCTTGAAAAACATTTGTATCTGCAATGCAGTCTTGCTCATGAAGATCAGAAGGAGACAGAGGATGGACAAATTTTTGTGTTTGCCTCTTGGTAGAGGATGCTGGCTGAGCTTTCTAAGAACTCAGTGATTGTTCCTGCAGTCCATTGTTCAACGCCCAAACCTCCTACTCCTGGACAGGACACGGAGGTGAAGAGCTGGTCAGGCAGCTGGTTGTGTCTGCAGATGAAAGAAAACTCTAGGAATATGAAAACCATCACACAGGTACCAAAGATAACAGGACTGTGAGGTGCACACAGCACTTGTGCGTAACACACTGCATTGGTTCACATTCTATGTGCATCTATTCACATCCATTTCAGGGTTATTGCTCAAATCAATTTGCATTCTCTATTCTGTATTTGCTCATTTAGTAACTGGAGGAAACCAAGATTTTGAAATGGATAACACATTGTTGGTTTCTCAATGAAGTGTGCAAAAATTTTCTAAAGTTTATCATAAGTTTTGTAGACTTTCATAAATTCATCTGATTGTATTTCTTTTGTGTTTGTGAAATGCATTCGATATATGTATATTCATGGGTTTCTGAGAATCTTCTTCCCACATATTAATGTTTACATTTGTGTAGTTTAATTTCTAGCCTCTGTGAAATGCTAATTATTTTTACTCACACATTTGTGCTGTAGAAAAGTGACTTGCTTGAAGACATCTGAAGCTGTCCACTCCCTTCATGGTGGAAAACAGTGCTGCATATGAATCTCAGAGCAGAGCATAGAGCCTTCGGGTGAAAGGATTTAGCTGTGATGAGGACCACACTGGTCTTTAGAGTACTGTCATCCAACCAGAGGAACCCAGCTCTTGTTTACTATTGGTGGATTTAAAGGCTTTCCATTAAGATGCAGCAAGAACCCTCACGATACCTTGCTACTGAATTTCACAGCAAATGCTTCAGAGGTTACCTGAGGTCAACACAGAGGAATGATTCCCCCAATGCCTTTAATTAAATCTCCGTAAAGAATTCCTGTGTGAGATGACAGCCTTATTAATTCATCTCTGAGTCAGGAAAGTGGGGTGAGGATTCTGGAGTGAGTCAAGATAGAGTGCTGAGCACAGCTCCATCCCTCCTCACAGGGAGACACTGAGCATGAAAACTACACGTTCTGACCTTCAGTATGAAGAGGAGCAAATGTTGGATGAAGGAGTCACTTTTCATGTGACCGCTTCAGCAGGGAGAGAAAAGGGGCCAATGTCATCTCCACTGCCATGAGTGCTGTTTGTCTACTTTTGAGACAGATTAATCCTAGGGGAACTTGACCCTGTGACCACACAAGTCATGAATTCTGTGTGTTGCTGTGTCACAGTTGGGCTGGGACAGTTCCTTGAACTTGAGCCCAGGGCCCTCTCAATTCATTGAGACATGAGAATCCATGTTCTTTTAACTATTTTACCCACATCATCTTGATATGAGGAGAAAAAAAATTCCCAACCTACTACATATCCAGTATGCGTTCATGTTGTCTAAAATTGATGAATGAATTTTAGGAACAATGTACATTAAGAGCAGAATATATTTATACAGAGAAAGAAAGCTTCTTTCTGAGAGAAAGAAGTGGTTCTGAGTGGGTGGCCAGAGACTTTGTCTTTTCTAGGGACTTCTATATAGCAAAACAACAAAGTGAGGCAGAGCCAAGGAGGGGAAAACATGGGAACACACAGGGTGGGCATGAAGTGGGACAGAACTGTGATCAACCAATAACATTAACTATCAGGTAAAATTTATTAAGTTAGGGACAAAAGGGGAAACAATTTATAGTAAGCAGGCAGGAACATAGAGCATTGACTCTTCTTATAGGGCATTGGGATGGTGTCTCCTGGAATCAGAGAGTGGCAGAGGCATATGTGCAATATAAGTCCTTAGGATGTGGGTGTATGTGTTTGATCATTTTTTTATACCTAGCCCACATTGGGAGGCGTCTGCCTCTACCTTAGGTACAAGGTATCTGGGCTTCTACACTGGATCCTTTGAAAGCCTAGACCTGTATGACTGTCTATAGTATTTCTATCTAATTGAGCTGCCTATAACAAGCCGTCCTCTGAGGACGCAGCACAAACTGCCATGAGGGAGTAATGGGCAATGATGGATCTGGCTTCTAAAGGCTGAGGGGGTTCATAGTTGATCAGCTGTCAGAGATACTCTGCAGAGTTTTATCTAATGACCACTATATATACCAAATATTTTTATCTTGATTAGGTATACAGCTTTAAGTCTGGAGAAGTCAAAAAAGAAAGAATTATGTATGCATTGTCTAAATAATACAATTCTTAGGGTAATTATGAGTACGTTGAACAAGGATTTTCATCAAAAGGACTAGTAATGATTTTCTACAATGACAAAGTCCAGGGAATTTTACAATCTTATATATCACTGAGTTGTCATCTTATATCTTGAACAGCTACTTAGACATTAGCAGAAAGATCAGGAATGTAAGCATTGAATTTTTACAACTGCATAAGTACCTTCTACACTAAGTACCTCCTATATCATGGCTTCTGAGTTTGGAGGATGGCTTGTTTTACTGATTTTATCTTTTTTATTTAGGAGAGAGAGACCAGCTTCAGAGTCATTTATGGCCCATTGGATATAGCTAGTTAAGGGCTTGATATGCATCATAGAAACTTTTCTGAAGACTGAATCTGGTGGGTCCCAGTATAAGGAATCTGAAAAAATCTAGTATACTTGTTCTTGTGTTTATCTGAATGATGTCTTAGGGTTTGGAATCCCTTAGGCAAAAACCAAGTTTAATCAAAGCATATGTAAGCAAAATATGATCATTATACATAAAAGTTAAGTTTAGAAACTAATTCTAAGCAAATTCATCATACAGTATTCAGCAAGTTGTCTCCTGGCTGATGATCTATAGTTCTGATGTAATGGATGTGTATTCTGTCTACACTGAGCATCAAATACTGTAACCCCAAATACTGAATATTGTAATCCAAATATTTCAGTCCTTTTTCCAGTCTTCCTCACAATCCAAAAAGTTATATTTTTAATCCCACTGAGGCATTATTGGAATCCTAGCAAGTTAATTTCAATGTATCACCTCCAATGCAACTCACAGAGAGCGTAAAGACATCAAGACACATTCAAAGTTAAGGACGTCCAAGGAGTTCTAAACAATCC